AATAGTCTTTCGCTTGTACTATTGAACTGTCTTATTACTGCTTCTCTGTCAATTGAGTGTCTGACTGTATGTCGTCTTGAGTGTTTAGCGTGAGCTGTCCAACTGAATGATTTAAGTAAGCTGTGGGATTGAGTAACTGCTTGAGCTTTTTGATTTGGTAACTGACCATCAGGATGACTGACCCTAGCTCATTATATAGTAGATGTGGTTTAACATTCCAGAAACATTGGTTCAACTATTAAACTAGAGGTTCTTTACAGGATTTGGACATTTGCGCATAAGTTCTTTACAATATTCTGACAACTGCATGTAAGCTTAATTAACAGATTGGAAAAAAAAATTTACAACAAAAGATTTTGTCTGAAATATTTAACATTATAATTAAAATTGGAAGAGTTGGATTTGGATAAATGATTCATCATTTTGGATATCGAAATATTTATTTTGTTGATTTTATGTAATTAATCATTTATCTGAGTGAAATATTCGAAATTCTAATTAAAATAACTCGTAACAACAGTAATTGGTCGTGCATCTAATTGAGATTAGTTGAATTTTGAAAATTTACAGCTCTATAACCATTTCAAGAAGTTAGAAAGAACTTTTCCACTTCCAATTTATTTTGTTCACAATTTTTTCGTGACTTTTTTTTTTCTCCTCAACAGTATCTTTATCCTAACAACGATACAATTACAGGCAATTAAATTTTTTTTTATTAAAGTAAGTTTATCACAAGGTCTATCGTATCGTCTATGTATTGGTACTACGAAAGAAAAAAATTTCAAAATATACAGTTTTTATTTATTTTGAAATCCTTTTTTTCTGATAAAATAAGTCATATAATAATAGAACAGGTCATTTTTTTCCTAGAAAAGTTTGGATAGATTTTATTAATGCTATTACTCCCTTTTTAATCATTATTGCAATTAATTAAGGTAAGATAATTAGTTGAAACTGTAAATGTGAAGTCTTTTCCTCATGCCACAATTACAGTTAAAAGATGACAAGATAAAGTCAAAAGTGTCAAAAACGTAAAAGGTCATATTTGCCCAATAAAAATCTTTTCTAATACATATATAAACAGCATAAAGTTAAAAAATGTCAAAGAAAAAAAAAAAATTTGTCATCTACGTTGAATGTAGTCTTTAGCAAATAATTAATTAGTATAATGACGAGTTTTTAAGTCACTTCTGTATGTTTCCCGTCCTTGTCGCTGAATGTTTTTTTTTTTTTTTTTCGATGTCGCCGCCTTGTTGCAATTCACTTTCCGCCCCGTCTCCCCTTACTTCTTCCTTTTCAACAATTTTTCACAACACAAAATACAGTTTGATTTATGAATCATCACAGATATGACCGAGAAAAGAGAGAGAGGGAAGAGAGAGAGAGAGAGAGAGGGAGTACTACAATCACTTTTTCCATTGCGAACACATTGAAATCATGATGATGTCTCAATTTCTTCTGTCCTCTCAACATTTTTCTCTCTCTCTCTCTCCCTCTCTTTGCTTCCCTTTTTCTTGCTTAAAATATTTTCTTTTTGTTCTTTTATTTTTTGTTACTGTTTGATTTTAGCATCAAATTTTCATTTTCTCAGACATTTTACGACTTAAGAGTACTTTTTTTTTTATTTTTGATTTTCAAATCTGAAAATTAAGTAATTATTACTTTGTTAATTATTCTTTGTTGAAATTTGAAGCGCAATAATTTCATTCCATTATCAATTCAAATTAATTTAATTCAAAATGATTTAATTGAAATTTCTGTTATTTGAACAAAAATTAGTTAACATTAAATGTTGTTGTTGCTGTTGTTTGTTTTCGTTTTTCTTTTTTTAAATATTTCTTTCGATAAAATTTATTTTATAAAGTCTATTTTAAGAATGTAAATATGAAGAAAAGATTTTTTTTTTCTTTTTGAGTAATGATACTATTTTAGGATGGCTTTTTTTTCTACTCTTTACTGAAATTCAATTCTTCCTGAGAGAATTTATTAGTTAAAAAATAAAAAAGAAAAAAAGGAGGAAAGAGAAATGCTTTTTATCTTTTTATGAAGTCAGTTTTCTCATACGTTTCTTTTTGTAATGTCTCGTTGTCAATATTCTTTTCATATTTCAAAAAAAAGAAATTTTTTAATATTTTTATTAAAT